TACCAGAATCATACTCACTCATATTTACACTCAGGTGCACATCCATCTTATTTTTCAGCCCAACCCATTTTATCTCAGCCACAGCCGAGTACTCCAACTCCTCGATCAATGAAACACCAGGGTTCAGCTGCAGCCTTGAGTGACCTATACAATGATTCTGCAATGTCCAGCAGAGGAAGCTCACACCTTAACATGTACATAAAACCCCAAGGAAGCATCTCTACCCCTCCCCTGAGCAGAGATGAGCGGCAGGCCTTAGCTTTGAAGATCCCCTTCCCCATGGATAAGATTATCAATCTACCTGTCGATGACTTCAATGAGCTCCTGACACAGTATACTCTGACAGATGCTCAACTAGCACTGGTCAGGGACATTAGACGAAGGGGGAAGAACAAGGTCGCAGCTCAGAACTGCAGGAAGAGGAAGCTCGAAAGCATAATTCACCTTGAAAGAGAACTGAATCAGCTCCAGGCCCAAAGGGAACACCTGGCACAAGAAAGGCTCGAGTTCCAGCGCAGCTTGGCATTCGTTAAATGTCGCCTTACAGATCTTTACACCCAAGTATTTTCTCATTTGCGAGATGAAGATGGACAACCATACTCGATAGATGAATATTCTATACAGCAGACACCGGATGGTAAAATTTATCTGGTACCTCACACAATGCAGAAGAGAGAGCCATGCTGAAGAATTGGGTAGTTTCCTTACTCTGGAGAACATTCGACCCGATTGTACCGACTTTGACCGAGTCACACAGGAAGTTGTCATAAGAATGACGTTAAGCTTCACATAAATGTATTAATGGACACTGTTCATGTTCTTTTAATGAATGAAACCAGAGATTTGTTTTTATACAAACACTTTATTAAAAAAAAAAGGTTAAAAAAATAAAATCTGCACAGCAGCCTTCTTAAAATATTTTGAGCACCAGCATGAATTTTCAGCCAACCTGTGGGGAGAAGAGAAAACTACATTAATTCAAATGTATTATTAAAAAAAAATAGATGTGTCTAGAAGTAGTAATGTTAGTACCTGGCAAAAACCATTGTCACAGAAATGAGGCCAGGTTTTGGGGTCCATGTCTCGTTACCTTACCTACCTACAAAATAGAAATACTGTAAGTAAAACAATACCCCAAAAATACAAAATATTTGCTCATTTCATAGCATGCAATATGTTTGGGCCTCAATGCACAATTGGAGGCCAAATTAAGTCAAATAGTAGAATGGTCATAAAACTTGATTAAATTATTACTGGGCTACATATCTCACTACCAGCTACATGACAAAATGCAAGATATACCATCAGTAGTTGAGAAGTCTGGTCTTACCTACAAACAGCACTTAAGCCTTTTGGTAGCTGCTGCCTGCTAGACTCAGGCCTCTGTTCTCACTCTCCCCTGCTTCAATGATCCTGGCGATGGTTTTGCTACTTCTCTCCCTCAGCTTGCTTCCATGGCTAGCCTCATAGACTTTGCATGTAAGCTAGCATTCTCCAGGTGATCTTTGCAGAAATCAGGGCAGAGCTTGTACCAAAGTGATGGGCTTTTTCTGATGATGGCATTTGCGCACCATTTCTTTGCCCGCCCTTTAACCAGTATTGCATATGCACTGACCTGAGCCAGCATGTAGGAGACACTGATATTGACTTTCCCCAGCCACCTTGTGATGTATATGGCTGAACCCATTTTCACCTAATAGTAAACCCTCCCTTTCCCAAAACCACTGAAAAGGCTAACGAGACTGTTTAAAAAAACTGAAAGGTGTTTATTTCAGCTTGATTTGATGCAGTTACAAATAAAAACCAGACTTAAAGATCTACACAAAACCTCATTGGAATGCTTGCTTTCCATTAACACAATTGACGAAAAAAGAAAAACATAAGACAAAATGTTTAAATGAAGGCCCTCCATGATTTATCTACTGTACATCTCTTCTTGCAGCAGCTGTAACCTGCCACAACTCATAGGCTGAGCAGATTTAGGAGGTAAACCTGCAGTTGCCCTGTCACTTCGCTTGCTCTCCTCTCCTTGCTCTCCTCTCCTAAGTACTCAGTCCTGTTGAACAATACGGAACAACATTGTTAACTGTGCACTGACTTTGTGACCTGACATCCAGAGTGAATTTGTTTAAAGGTTATCTGCACTCAATGATTCCCTGCTCACCACAAGCTGTTGTTTTACATTAAAAAAAGAGACTCTTAAGGCATGCTCTCAAGCTCTTACCACTTTGTCATTTTAAAATCGTCCTGGACGTCCACCATAGCCGCTGTTGTTTGAGCCTCCGTATCCACCTGGAAGCAAAAAAAACAAAGTCAAAACAAGAGGTCAGCATACATAAAAGCATCTACTTGTGAAGTCTGGGAACTCATACCAAAGTTCCTGCCGCCGCCGCCACCACCACCAAAGTTGCCCTTCATGGGGCCAAAGTTAGAGGCCTGGGGGTCGTAGTGGCCCATGTTGTTGTAGTTATTGCCGCCACCGCCGCCTCCACCACCACCACAATTGCCTGTGATTACAGAGTTTGTAGGATTGGTCAACCTCAAGCAAGTTACAATTCTAGTAAAAGGCAGTGTAATGGCATTATCTTACCATAACCATTGCTGTCATAACCGTTTCCTCCATATCCACCACCCTGGTTGTAGCCCTGATTGTAACCACGGTTACCTCCATTATAGCCACCAGGACCACCAGGTCCACCTCCATAGCCTAAAAATATAAGACAGCCTTAAAATACACTGTGGAATTTAAGAAATGCAAAGAAAATAGGAAGACACGACAAAACCATGCTCACCACCATCACCCCCGTTGCAATTGTAAGGACCATCTCCATATCGCCCCCTGCCACCTAAATAAGATAATCATATGGTTTGCTATCGCACAGTATAACAATCACTCCACTATCAACAAAATAAGCCGTACCTTGATTGAAGCCCCGGTCGTAATCGTAGGGCCTGCCACCAGTGTTGCGACCTCCTCTCATTCCCATACCCATTCCTGCACTCTGCATTTCCTGCTTTGTGAGGGCCTTCCTCACCTCACAGTTGTGAGAGTTGATAGTGTGGTATTTCTGGACTGTGGAGAGAATTTTTTGTAAACAAGCTAGCCAACAATCAAAAGTCTGACAAAACAGTCTGGGGGAAAAAGTCAACTTCTGCACTTACTGACAATCCGATCAACTGAATCGTGGTCGTCAAACGTAACAAAGGCAAAGCCCCTCTTCTTCCCAGTGTTGCGGTCAGTCATGATATCAATGACCTCTATTTTGCCAAACTGCTGGAAATAATCCCTCAGGTGTGACTCCTCTGTGTCTTCTTTGATGCCTCCAACAAAGATCTTTTTCACAGTTATGTGGGCTCCTGGTCGGTTTGAGTCCTGGAATCAAAGACATTTGTTATTGTTATGCGCCTTTTGAATGCAAGAACAATTGCACCTCATCCAGTTGTTACACACCTCCCTGGAAACAGCTCGTTTCGGTTCTACCACTCTTCCATCGACCTTATGGGGACGGGCTGACATGGCAGCATCAACTTCCTGCACTGATGAATATGTTACAAAGCCAAAACCCCTGGATCTCTTGCTGTTGGGGTCCCTCATGACCTGAAAGACAAATGCTTTTGGATTAGCCAGTAACCAACGTGCTCTACATTATTGCAAAACCATGACCACTGAAACATCATGACTACATCTTTAATGAAACCCGACTTACCACGCAGTCTGTAAGAGTCCCCCATTGCTCAAAATGAGCACGCAGGCTTTCGTCTGTCGTCTCGAAGCTCAAGCCTCCGATGAACAGCTTGCGGAGCTGCTCTGGCTCACGTGGGACCTATACAATAGACAAAGCAATGCAATAACATCTGATTAGCTTCTCCAATGTCGGCTTTAATGTAATACAACCATAACTTTAACGTGATAGTAGTATTAATTAATGCTGTTCACCGTCTACATACATCCTTCCCTGCTCCCCTTATTTATATTCAGGGCGTGTGGAGGAGGGACACACCGCCGCCATTAACGTTAGCAAAGCCGCTGAAAGACCAGCGAATAGGGCAAATATTTTAAGTACTTATTTGTCAGAGTAAGCCGTGATTTAAATGAGTGTTGCATTTAAGCGTGATTTCCCATCGTAAATGTTGATTCAAAGTCCTAAATTTCCACTGCAGCTCACCCGCAGGAACAAAAGGCCACGAGGCCTGGCTGCTATAAAATGGCGGCGTTTCAATACAGCTACGACCCAAACCGGAGACTGTACTACGAATCAAAAGCATGCCGCAACTTCATATTTCCTACCTTCTCTAACATAAAACAACGCATGCAATAACAGAGCAGTAGTCCCGAGCCCAGTACTCACACTCTCTCTCGACATGTTGCAGATTTAGCCTTGAAGACGTGTTGTGTAACTTGCGAAGAGCCGAGATCTGCGTCAGACGAGCGTAGCCTGCTATTCAACAGTACAATAAATAGCAACGGTACCGCCCCTGTCGCACGGCAATTGGGCAGCTATTCCCGCTGCAGTTTGTCGTCCGCAGTGATTCAATTTTGATTGGGCCATATAGAATCAATCATTACCAACATCCAATCACCTAGTGTGCAATGACGACAATGAAAAAATGGATTACGGTTGTTGTATGTGAAAAGGAAAATTTGAAGAAGGTATCGAGTCTGTCGTGTATAACGGCTTTAAGTCAGTAAGCATACAGTGGGCACAGCTCGCTAAGTTATGTTCCTGGAAAACACAAGGAAGATGGTCAGTTTTTTTAGATTAAACATCATACGAACCGTAAATGATTCCTTTTTTGATTTGTGGGCGGAAGCACAGCAGCCTTGTACAGCAATAGCCCTACCTCCCACATTAACATACACACCTTCTTATCAAAGAAAAATATTTTCTATACAGAGTGCACACGTATTAAGATTAAAAAAAAATCCAAATTGTTACAGAATAAACTTAAAAACACGATAGAAGCACATTCAACCACTTTATATGAAGATCATCAGCTGACTGAGGGGCGGGTCAGTTATTGTGCGCTTTAACGCGCGCTTTTTTGCGCACAGCACCTTTGTGTGTATGTGTGTGTGTGTTGTGCTAGCTGCTAAAGTAGCTGAAAGGTTGGCCTCGCCGCTCCTCCACAAAGACAGGGTTTGACGGGTACAGATCGACGGTTGGGACCTCCAGAAGAGTAAGACACTATTTTTTGCAGTTTCATGCCGCTGTAGATATGGGCGCATGGTTTGATAGCATAGTAGTTTAGCTCGATTTAGCGGTTGCTTGCAGGCTACCTGCTGTAGCAAGTTTTCATTTGCTTTGCTGCTAGCGCCATTCAGCTAGTAGCCGTTGTCCTTGCTATTTGTACGTTTTTGTAGTAACAGTGACCGACTTTTCACCGATTTAGCGAGTAGATTGCGATCTGGATATTTAGCTGCACTGTTTAGTTGGTCTTTTTAACGTTGCATGTTGCAATTAAACAAACTATGACGTTATTAAGCCTCTCGTTGAAATATGATAACAATCTTGCTAGCTGTGGCTAATTAGCTAATGTTAAAGTGTTACCGATCTGTAATTTGTAGCTGCTTTGCGATTGGAGTGATGTGGCTGTGTAGCCATTATTCTTTTTAAAAATGGGTGCGTTTTTTTTTTTATTAACTAGAGCTAGTGGGAGAGCGATCAAAACTCAAATATCTTTAACGCGAGCTTTTCCGTTCTTTCTAAACAGGGAAGTGTCACCTGCAACCGCGTTGTGTTAAGCACCAAACTTTACCATGGGCAAAAAGTCTCGCGGAGAAGAGTCTTCATCCTCTGATGAGGAAGAATATGTTGTGGAAAAAGTGCTGGACAGGAGGGTGGTGAAAGGAAGGGTTGAGTTCTTCCTAAAGTGGAAGGGATACTCGGAGTAAGTAATTAAATAAATGTACTAACAACGGTCATAGCTCCCATAGTCAAAAATCTTTTGAATCTCTATTAAAATTAAATGCTGTAAACAGTTGGTCACATTTTGGAGTAGGTAGGTTATTGGAGATTGCTATTCTAACACTCGGGTCCAAGATGCACCCAGTGCACAACAGAACAGCTCTCTTAGACACAGATGCTGTCATCTAAAGCACAGTAATGACCATGAAAGGAACATTAGATTATAGTGTTTTAAACATTGCAAGAGATCAAATTTTTTAGCATATCTTGCAGTTTCCAATCCAAACTGGTGCATTAAGGCTGCACTGATTTTTCTGTTCTGTGCTCTTTCTCAGCAAGCACAACACATGGGAACCAGAGAAAAATTTGGATTGCCCTGAGCTTATTTCAGAATTCATGAAGACCTACAAGAAAAGCAGTGGCGGGACCTCCACACCCAGCAGTGGGGCCAGCAAATCAAACACGGCCGCCTCTGGACGCTCCAAAGATTCTAGCAGCTCAAAGAAGAGGAGCTCGGATGATGACGAGGAAGGTGGAAGTAAGCCCAAGAAGAAAAAAGAGGTAAGAACTATTTTTGGCTGCAGAAGCAGGATGTCTAGAACTTGAAATGTGCTGCATTTGGCTTCCTTTTTCACTTGACATTAAGTTAGCACAACACATTTATCTAAGGTGTGTGGAAACTGAGACTGTTTACATTTAAAGACAGCTGGTGTAAATTCAAGAGTTTAATACAAAATCCAGATTTCTAAAGTAATTTTGTTCGGGGTCTTTCAGGATGACATTCTAGTCGCACGCGGCTTTGAGAGAGGACTTGAGCCGGAGAAGATCATTGGAGCAACAGACTCGTGTGGAGACCTCATGTTTCTTATGAAGTGGTAGGTTCTGAAAGTCTTGATTTAATTTTGCCTTTAGTTTTTGTGTGAAATCGATCAATAAATGCACCTAGTGTTAGAAATCTTCTTACATGCACAACCATTCAGATGCAGGCAGTACTGACATAATTCTTCTTACACTCTGATATTTCTATTTGTAAATTGCCTTTAGCAGCATTTATAGCTTAGCTGGCCTATGGTATGTAATTGCATATTATCTTGAGGGATAAGGGTAGTACACTGTTGTGGAATTTAAATGCACTCCATGTAATTAATGTAATGTGTGAAATCTTATGCTACATTTTAACTAGTTGGACAAAATTTGCATGTTGCAAGTGTTTTGAAAACGGAGATATTATATCTTGGTTGTGCAAAGACACAAACCCAAGCGGTAATTTTAAACTTTCTCTTTCCAGGAAAGACTCTGATGAGGCTGATCTCGTGCTCGCAAAGGAGGCCAATCATAAGTGCCCACAGATTGTCATAGCCTTCTATGAGGAACGTCTCACCTGGCATGAAGACAGTGACAAGAAGGAGAAGGATGCAGTCAGTGCGTGAGTGTATCGCCTCAGGAGGAAACGGGACCTCTTCACTGCAGGGACAACCTTGAGTCGGACATTTTTCACATCCTAAACTCCCAACCTTCAATTTTTACCATGTCCAGCAATGACACACACAAATTTTGGACACTGTGTTATCTCCATCCAAGCCTCATTGGAGCACACGGGCCCAGACTACTAAAAAGGATCCATCATTCAGGAGGAGAAGCTGTAGTTGACATGGGTGATATGCTACTGGGGAGAGTTTATACTATTCTGTCTTTGTATTCTTTACTTTCTTCAAAAAAAAAAAAAAAATTTAACACATTGTTTTAGTGCTTACAGGATACGATTATGTTAGTGTTGAAAATCAGAGTTGGTAAAGGCTGTGTTAACCCAGAGTGTGTTCCATTGTGGGTTCACAACTTTTAATTTGCTATAAACGGTGTACCTCTTCTTTTTAAGAACCCAGCTGACACCACAAAGATGGAAACATTTTTTATTTTTTAAAGTCAGGAAGCCGCCGCCGCACTTTCCTGACTGCATAATCGCTTCCTTTTAAAAGGAAAAACTTCGATATCATAGGTTTCTCATTTGTCTTGCTGTAAAGCCTGCCAGGATGGATTTACTCAGTTTTTTCATAATGTAATTCATAATGTAGTGGTGGGTTGTTTTTTGTCTTGTGTGTGGGTGTTTTTTTTTTTGTTTGTTTTTTTAATAACAAAGTTTTATTTTCACGTTCAAATATACCGGTCTATACAAATATACATTACCACATCAACAGCTAACCCAAAGGACAGTAAAACCAATTATGCACATTTTTTTTCCCTTTTAAATAAGCGTTTTTGTTTTGTTTGTTTGTTTTGGGGTTTTTGTGTGTTCAAGTCTGACAATCTTCTATGTATCCAAGTGAAATGAAGCCAGGGTTGTGCCTGTCATTAGGGTCTGCCACCTTGTGGCCAAAAGATGTAAACCTTGAATGTGTGACCAATCCCTATGACAACCCTGTGGTTTTAATAGTTGTTGTTAGTCATCTTTTGATTTTTATGTTAAATGGTTATTGACATTGCCATAATTTCAAACATTAAAGCAAGCTTTGAACTGAATTGGTCACATCCTGGGTTCTCTTGTGTTGACTCTATTTGTTCTTAGCTTAAGATTTCTTTTATTTTACTTACATTTTTTTTCTCTTTCTTTTCTGGGACCTGAAAAGCACCTCCAAGCTTTTATACACTAGATGGATGTCAGCTTTGCAGTTTGATCTGTTGTGCTCCAGCGTGGACTCTTGGGACCAAATGTTTCGTGTCTACCGAATAAAATCTGTTTTATTTTTGATTTAAAATTTTTTTTATCAATGTTTTTAGCTTTAATTGGCATTGTGAATGAAGGCTGTGCACCTCTCCCCTTTTCATATGTACCATACACAAATTATGTCCCTTGATATTAACTTAGATGATCCTTCTGGTGTCGATTCCTTTAATAACAAGTATTCGGTTCCTGAATTATTCTTTTTTATTTTCTTTTATTTTTTTGCCAGTGCAGAATTTTTTAAATGTAGACTATTTCTTGTGTGAATGAAATGTTGTGAGTATGTGTACAGTAGCACCCTTTAATAAACATTTTCAGTGTTAAAGTTGCTGTCGGTTTCATTTTAGACTCAATATTCCATTCACAAAGCATTTAAGTCAGAAAATAATACTAGAAATTTCTTGAATATAATTCGTAAGAACTGTTATGGAAGCAAACTGTAACTTAATATCTGGAAGTTTCCTACCTGAGGGAAAATCACCATCTTGGCCGGATAACATAGGATGGGTATCATTACATGGGCTTGTTTCTTTTCAAAGTGAAACGACTTTTTATCCGTTAAAGGTTTAAAGCGCAATGGCTGCTCTTCCCCAGCAGATGGTGCTGTTAATCAATAGCAATCCAAAAGTAAAGGTATTTTTATGCAAGTCATTCACAGTTCAAACTCTTAAAGTTGCTCACATGAACAAGTCATAAATGGGTGTTTATGGATTTTTATGCAGCTTTTTGAGGTCCAGGGATTCACAGTGTGTTTACCATTTCTGCTGAAGCCATCCATATCTCCCCAACTCATAGAGCTGATTAAAACATCTGTTAAATTAAATTAAGATACTTTATCTATATCTAAAGTGGCTCACAACACATAAAACAAAAATCCAATACAATTAGTCATTTTTGTTTTGGTGCTCATATTAATGTTCAAGAGAGACAGATGAAGGAATAGCACACAATAAAGGTTAGATAGAAACTTCAGTTATTATGGCTCATTCATGGTTGGTGCCTTAAACCCTTAGGCCACTGAAGCAATCCACTTCAATTTCATGATGCAGCCATAAAAACAAATATGCATCGCTGCAATATGTGGGTTTTTTTTTCTTCTACTTGAAACTCAAAGAAAAACACAAGCAGGGAGTTGAAGCTAAAACCAGACTCTAAGCATGTGAGAACAAATTATAATTCCCTTTATCTGGCAACCATAACAAATTATGAAATAACTAAGTGCATTACAATACGAGTTGTTAATTTTTATTAAAAAAATATATAGTATATAATATAAGGTAAGAATAATGTCGCTCCTATACGGACCAGCTGCAAGATTAGTCATAAACCGCAGTGAAGGTGTAGTCTTGTTCTTCTCGCACCACCATCTTTTTCTTTCTTGCTGCCCTTTATAGCAACTCTTTTTTACATGCACACACACACACACACACACACACACACACACACACACACACACACACACACACACTGTGCTGCTTGGCTACGTCTAAAGTGATGGAATTTTCCTTGCAAAAAGGCTTTTACACTCCAAATGGAATGCAAAGGTCACTAGTAAATATCCAGCCCCTGGGACCATTAAGCTGGGCAAAGAGAGGGAGCAGCAGGCTGTTTTATGGAGCCTGGAGCTGTCTGCTCACAAACCCAGGCCAGTATGGGTTTGGTTGGGAAAGACACTGTGCATTAACAAGAGGCTCTGGTGACTATGTGTGGCAAATGCAGTACAAAGTAAAGGCGGCGTAGAGGGTATTTGATCAGAAGGATGTAAGTGTAAAGCTCCATCAAAGCTTGAAATGCTTAAAAAGTGTTGGCTTTTCAGGACACAGATTTTTGACGCTGCAAAGAAGTACAACTTGACATTTGTAATATATAAAATTTATAAAACCCTTAACGCTGTTTTTTGCCATGGGAATCATATTCTGGTGTAAATGTATTTATTTATTCGCAACAGCCTCTCTGCACTTCAAACATACTTCCCCCCGCTAGTAACTTCTAGTGCAAATGAGTTCCACAGGGTACTGTCCACAGCAGAGGTGGGCCGTCTTGCTGCACACTGCACAAAATGAGCGTCGGGGGAGCTACTGTGCAGCTGTGGTGAGGAAAGGGACTGCAGCAGTGGGGCCTCATCAGAGTTACAGCTTGCTCAGGGATGCCACAAACAAATAAACATGCGCTCGTGGAGATAACGTGAGCACAAAAAGAGGAAAGATTCACCTTCCTCTGTCAGTCTCAGCAAAACTACGAAAAATTGTGGGAAAAAAGACAAAGCGTCGTGAATCACAAGTCTCACACAGGCCGGTGTAATTTGATGTGGCCTTTACTTGTGCTGTGATCATGTAGACACAGCTGCGCCTCCTTGATCCAATCAGATAAAAATGTCTGCGGCGACGACTGCATCGGCGTCGTCTCGAAGCGCACTGATCTGTGTGAAGGTGATTGCGGCGTGATGCTCTAATTTGGGTGCCCATCACACTTAATGCGCAGTAAAGCACCACAGACAAAGCTTCTTCCTTCTAAATGCCCCCCCCACCCATGTGCTGCTCCACAGCTCTCACCACCAACCTACTGCTGGCTGTGTTTCCCCTTCACCGCCACCACCACCCCTTCACATCCCCTCCCCAACACTCCTCCCTTCATCTCCTCTCCCCACCAGGGGGAAAGAGTTATAGCTGCCATAAAAGGCAGGTAATGCATTGTTAACTAATTCTGTCTGCTCAGAGCTGATATATCCTCTGCTCTAAATCTCTGTTCCTCCAATAAAATGCAAATGCTAATGCTTGCCCTCCATGAGCTGATATCATTTTTAACAGGCCAGAGGTAAATGCTGGAGAAGGGTGGGGTAAGCCAGAGGTAGTCGGTGACATGGCAGGGCTTTGAGCTTTCAGGGTACACGGCTTGTTATAAAGGAGACCTGCTCCGCATACCTCCGACCAGCAAGTATGCTGCACATGTGGCCACAGGTACCACTGTAAGACCGCAGCGGTGTGGTGCAGTGCATCGAGAGGCCGCGTGCACGCGTCTAAGCAGCAGCAGCAGCTAAGCTTCTAATAGTTTAAAGCTAGTGTTGCATCTTTGTTATTTAGAAGCTTATCAGTCAGTACTCACTCACCGTCAAATAGAAAGAGGAGCCAATTTGCCTGTGGATGTAATGCATCATATTTCCATGTTAATAGTAGTGTCATACTTCGTGTAACCTTGGGCTTCTAAATATTGATCCACTTCTAGATTTTCAATTATCCTGTGCCGTTTTTCTGCCATCTGGTAAGGACCAGTGATTTGTGTTCCTTCATATCTGGAGGCTTGTCCTGTAATTAGACCATAAATTAATTTGCAGAGAAGAGAGAGAGAAAGAGAGAGCACAAAAGATTGAAGGCATTAAGTGAGGCCTGGGTTGTTGGAGACAGAAAATCATAGGAAACCACAGCACAGTGTTTTATCCACTATAGAATAAGATTTTTTTTTTTGGGGGGTTCAGGCATGTGTCACTTTTTTTTCTCAGCTTTTTAAAAACCATGCTGCTGCTAATGATTGCTTGTAAGTCACTCCTTCAGTAAACTGCTAGAGATCATCCACTGACATAATTATGCCTAATTGCTCGCAGTGCAATAGCAAAATAATAAGGAAAAATTGAGAGCTTTACTGTCAAAATGGATGTGAAACTTTGAAGTGAAATCTGCTGTGAACCCATCAGTGGATTGAAAATGACCCCCTGTGAAGGAAGGCAACAGTTACGTGCTTCGAACTGAGTTCTTATTTACAGCACAGCTTAAGTGGAGCTCCTAAAAAAAAAGAAAAAACTGTGCATTTTTACTGATTTTAAATTGGTAGTATAGGCTCTCCTGCAAGATTATCTCATTGTCCCCTGCTGCTAAATTACACATAGAGATTGTGGCTGTCGCTGCAGAGTGTTTGAGCAGTGCAACAGCAGCTCTCTTTGCCGTGCAGAAATTCACATTAGACAAGCCTAAGTTACTCGCTTGAAGCAATTAAGAGAAAAATTGCGTAACACAATGGGCTTCACTAGGGGTGCAAAGTGCTGAATCAGCAGGGTCTGAGTTTAAAACACTGTATGAAGACATAATCTTAAGCGGTTAAGGGTAATGTGACAGTAGGCTGTAGAATACTGCATTGCTGTACCTGCTCTACATGATACCTTGGGTGCTTTAAAGCAAGGCCACAGCTGCCGGCATGCTCTGATCATATCTTGCGGGGCTCCAGAGGCAAGGTCAGCCAACACAGAGCCCACCTGCTCCCCCATTCTCCATCACGGAGTCCCTCAGCCCTGGCCTCCCGGAGGGAACATGCCTGACTGCCGTGGTCGTACAGACAGCATGTGTCCCTGAATTTATGATGGCGACTTATTGGCGGCCTTTCACGTAAAAAGTCATCTTGAGTTTCCCAGTCTGGCTGTATGTGTGGTGAGCGTTAATCCATTAACATTCAGGGCAAACACGTACTGAGCCTGGCTTTCTGCCAGCTCAGAGCCCTGACAGTCTTTGACCCACCGCTGACCACAACATTCTCCCAGCCTTAGCCAGTCTTGACATAATACAGAGCCATAAACTATCTAATGTTACCATGTATATGAATGTGAAGCATTATATGCCTGAGGTAATAGAATGCAAGGCTTATAACCAAGTGAAAAGGGCCCAGCTGCAATAGGCTCATTTTCTTAGAGTAAGGAAAAAAATCACATTTGTCTACCGTAGAAGTTTACACATATTACAGTGAACCAAATGATCATGAAGTTTCAGTCCTTTCTATTTCCATCAAGGATTAGAGTTCAGAGAGGCCATGAAATCCCCACAGTTTCCACAGTAGTATTTATTTCAGCAGGAGATGTGGAGGTTCATATTAACTGATCCACAAGGAACAGTTCTGGCAGAACTTAAAATGCTGCAAGGCTCAGCCGGGCCTTAGAATTGAGAGCTTTCAACAACACGGGCTGCTCTGCTGCTGGAGGTGGCTCCTGAACTGATTGTAATTTTAGTGGCTTATAAAGGCTCGATAAATACTTTATAAAGCCGCGTTCCATAACAAATCTAACATATAAAAGAAGGCATAGATGTTACTCCACACAGGATAAAGGGGCTCTTGACAGGTTCTTGAATAGGTTTTATAATTCAATATTACAACCACCATCCTTGTAAGGACCCTGTCATCTCCCAAGGCTCACAGAATATATAAGTTAAACACACATTCAAGTGCTCACGGTCCAGTCCATTACACTGATTAGCAGTAAACACATTTGTAATAAAACTAAGTGAAATAGAGGTGGACGGACTGCACACTGATTCATTGCAGAATCTTAGTGAAATATAATGTGTC